CACAATAACCACATAGGTAAGATAGACTGTTTTTATTTCTGTCTTCAAGTATCAATGATGTATGTGCTGATCAAATTTCTGCTTGATCTGACAGGTGAACTCGAAATCACGTTCCTCAAGAACTTCTGCCGTGCTGGTAACCTTTCCGCTCTGCTACAAAGTGGAAAACTTCCGCAGGCGCTTCAACCATATGTCACTCGATTGCAAGCACTGTACGAACCACCCTTACCAAAACCCAGACGCCTTTCTAATTCTAAGCTAGACCCGTTAGATGAAAAACTACTTATACAATTAATCAGACGCCTGAATGGTCAAAGGCATGAAGAATGTACTTGGGTAGATCCGGAGGAATGGGCTTCATTCTCACCAGATGAGGCACTGGGTCATGCACCTGTCCCTCCCCGCGCGTTTTTTCACAAGCACATCGATCATCTTAACATTACTTTTTCAACATTTGAAGCAAATCCAAATAACAGCTTTGTCATCTTCAAAACAAATGCTAGCAAACACAAACGGTTTGGTAGGATATCAAAGATCTTTGTTCACCGTCGAGCGCCAAAGCCAAATCACAACATCATGGAGACCTGGCTGAATATACAAGTATTCAAGGCGATTCCAGAAAAAATGAAAGATCCTTTCAAAAGCTTCCAGATGCCTGATGTACAAGCTCACTTACTGATGTGGGACTCACCCGAAGATCATGTGGTTAAGTTAGACGAAATAATTGCACATTGTGCTTGGTTGATGTACAAACCACAAGAACTCCATAGTAGTTTAAAATTTTCAACTGTAGCAATGGTGTCAATGGTGCGATGAAAATCTGTTAATCATGTACTGATTCATCCAATCTCTATTATATCTTTTACTAAATTATATATCCTTTCTTGTCCATATTTTATACTTTTCAATGGTCTTTCTATCTATTCGTGTCCATATTTCCCAAACCATTATATCTTTCATTCACCTGTCTCTTTTTTCGTGTCCATATATTATCTTTCCTTTCTTGTCAATATCTTACACTCTATTATATGATTTGTCATTGATATTTCTATCTGTTCGTGTCCATATCTTACAAAGCTTTATATTTGTCATTGATCTGTCTCTTTTTCCTGTCCATATCTTATACATACTATCATATCTTCTTTCTTGTCCATATCTTACTTCCTATCATCTGCACAATACATATTTCTTGGAATATTTGTCTTTTGATTGACATTGCCTCTGATTCCTATTCAACTAGTCGTACTTCTGAGATGTGACCCTTAAAGCTACACCGATACATTTGATTGATATGATGAAAGACACGGACGGACCTGGTTGGCTCAAACCTGTTCAAATGCTAAGGAACAATACTGATACTCAGTGATCCACTATTCAAAAAGACCATGGAACTCTTGATCATCCACGACGCTCCATGGGTCTTTCATGGAGTTTGGAAAGTCTTGGCTCCGATGCTTGATCGTGCGTATGTCCTGCTGAATTTGATCATGTGGGTTGTCTTTGTGGTGCTCAATCAAAATTTCGTTACCTTTGATCGACATAGCTGTTGAACGCTCTGAGATCATGTTCTCCAAGTCTAGTCAAGACTTGCTCATGCATGTCGATCACGACAACAACTCAAAGAAGTCGGAGGAGAGTCCACCTGGAAACCATATCATCGCGATTCCTCACCTTCTCAAGAATTAGATCAATCTAAGAAAGAAGAATTATTAATTGAGAGAAAGGAGCTGGTAGCAAAGTACATAGAATTGACTAATCAATGGATAGATCAAGGTTCCACCACAGATGCCAAATTAAGAGGTTTTCTTGCCTTAATGACGAAAGCTCAAGGTCTCTTACTAGTAAGTCTAATTCTATAAATTCTCTTCCTTTCACTCTGTCTCGTGATTTAGCATAAACTGGAGCAGGGACATATCTCTGATTTCATTGATGAGGTATTAGCTTTTGCTTTCTAGGAGAAGATCAAACAGAACTTCCGAGAGTTTATCTGTCTCGTGATTTAGCATAAACTGGAGCAGGGACATATCTCTGATTTCATTGATGAGGTATTAGCTTTTGCTTTCTAGGAGAAGATCAAACAGAACTTCCGAGAGTTTATCATGTTGGCTTTCTGGAACACTTGATCTCCTAAACTTGAGATTCCGGACTGTTTTCGATAGTTAGAAGTTAGAACTACATAACAAGGGAGCAGGTTCCTGGGGTGGGAAAACCTGAAAGATCAATAGAGCGGGTTTCGCAGATCCAGAAAAACAACAAATCAAGGACTGTTTTCGATACTTAGAAGTTAGAACTACATAACAAGGGAGCAGGTTCCTGGGGTGGGAAAACCTGAAAGATCAATAGAGCGGGTTTCGCAGATCCAGGAAACCAACCAAGGACTGTTTTCGATACTTAGAAGTTAGAACTACATAGGGCTGATTACTCATGACTACAAACCAACATGTTCCAGGAACCATATCTTCGCGCCGGGACTTTTTACCTCACACAAAAACTGTTTTGATGAGAGCATTACTATAAGTGATATGCAAAGTATTCAATCTTATGACTCAGAATTTCACGATCACACTATGTGATTGTGATTGACAAGTAGTGCGGTATGCATGGTTCACATGATGCAAAAACAGCTATAAAATTTTTGTCAGAGATAATGATCAACAGTTACGACAGTCAAAGTGATAAGACAACAAATCACAGAGATTCAAAGCTTGAGATTTTTGATTATGGTATTGGACGGGCTAATTTTCAGTGGTTCGATGTTTTGACAGGACGATGTTCCTTGATGAACCTTTAATATGCAATCAAGTGGTTAGTAAACAATAGCAAACAATGCTGAAACAAGGAACCCACTCATGTTGCTCAGCCAATGCTCCAATAATTTCTCGATCAGCTAATTTTGAGCGGGTTGATGTTTTTGGAGGACTCCCCTAATTGAATGATCAGTATAGCATCAGTTAGATCAGCTTAAGAGTGATCATGTAGAGAATTGTGACAGGGAACGCACTCATGATGTTTGGCCAACGCTCTAAGAAAACCAACGTCTTCAATGGCAGCATTGAACATCCCCTGACGGGATCTTAAAGAAGCTTTAGCACATTTTAATTCCTCCTCAAGATCTCCGCGTTTGGTTCGTGAGAGGGTGGGCAGACGCAATTGAAGGTGAATACTTTCGATGGACTCGACGGATCGTTCAAGGAAGATGGATGTGTCGTGGAGAGTGTCCTCAGCATCAGTTTGAGCACCAATAATCTCATCAATTTCTGCTTGGCTCAGAAACGTATAGGACTCGATAAAGTGCTGGAGGCTTTCGGCTGCAAGACGGTACTTCCCGCTCCTGAGGTGCATAAGAGTACCGGTGTCAAACATATCAATTCGTTTAGGGTCGTAATCAGCGCTGGAATTGATCCATCGGCTAGTGAGTTGATCAGGTTTGTATACGGGGCATGCGAATAGGCCTTGGATATAGTTTTTGTTGCCATTAAGAGAGCTGATTAAACGAGATAGACGTGGGGCCACCTTCTCAATGAAAAGTTTGAGGAGGAGTTCATGGTCTTCTTCGGCATTTCGAGTTAGACGGAGACGGGGATGAAACGCTGAGATCACCTCCACAATTTGATTTGGAGTAGCTTTGCTCAAGAAGAGGTCCGCATCGATCCTAGGATTAGTTTCACCAACAACGTATTCAAGCATATAATTGGGTAAGTAAACATAATAGGCCGGGTGATGATCCATGATATCTGGAGTACTGAATGATGAGATGGTTTAAAAAAATCTTCAGAGAAATGTATGAGCTTTGAGTTAGAAACTTGACGGAGCAGTAGGTGTAATATATGCTCTACAACCTCATGATCATGATCAACTTATCAAGTGGTCTTGTTTGTTGATTACAATACATGGATAAAGCTAGAAGATAGTTATATCAATATAAGAGATTAATTTGACCATACAATCAGAATGAGACATTCGTAGCTCTTCTGCAATTCAGATGATCAACATAATGACTGGTCATCCCAGCCTTTCCGCTATGACTTGATTATAATCAAGTCATCAAAAGATGTCCTGGGAGGCAATGATCTTTCCCACTTGTGATCTTGACGTACATATAGATCAGTTGTGTTCAATGTAATCATCAATCAGATCTGATAAATCTTCTGACCTCACTCAATCTCAGAATGTAAAAATTAAGAATTGTATATTGTAAAAAAGTTGACTTTGATGGTTGACGGACCGGTTGGGCGACTATGAAGTGATTGGGTATTTTACTCTGTTGTAAATTCCTAGCCTGGATCAAGTAAATATACATCTGGACCAAAGCAATAGCTTGATGATGGTAAAAAACTATCCCTATCTTAATGTGATCTGAGTTCTGGATTTGAATAAGTGTACCCCAGCATTGAAGGTAATCAGATTGCGGCACATGTCCAATGGAAAGTACGTCTCTATCAAAACTGTCCGAAATTGAGTCATAAACGTGTTTGCTTATTGGTTTCCAGTCTAATTTTCAGAAACTACGCAATGGTTGTGACCTTGATGTTAAGGTCACATTGAACTGGCACTGTGTCTGTCTTTTCTATTGAATATCAAACAAATATGCAATGGTTCTTCACAGAAGAAAGATACGTTGATAGCTCACTTTATTCCACCTCTGATAAAAACTATAATGAAATAAAAAATCAACAACTTTATTTGAGAGATACATTGATAGTTCTCTTGATTCCACCTCTGACACGAACTATGATATATCATGAAGTCAAAAGTTAACAAAATTTTTCTTTGAGTCTATCACTGATAAACACTGATGTATTAAAAAGCGGTTGTGGACAGAAGATACAATTGTTTATATACCTTTATCTCTGTTCTGTTGCTTCTAAATCAAGAGATCTGTGTCGGTGATCGGAGTCAAACATGATGTATCAGGAATGTTTACATACAAGCGAAAAAATCAAAGTTTTTCGACGAGAGGAAGCAGTTCATCCAGAATAGGTACAGGATTGACTTCTAGCTGGGTTCTTTCCAGGGGAGAAAGTTTCTGGAGCCAAGTCGAAGAATAGCAGTCTACCGGAAGGCCACTTGGTGCAGGTACCTGACTTTGTGGTCCACCTATGCAGCGATACCGAGGACGGTTTGGCCGGCCACTTTGCCTTGGTGATGCACCCTTCTTGCGTGGTTTACTTGAATCAACCTTTGATTTAGCAAGATCAAGTAACATACATATTGTCTTGAGATTGTTGCTTCGCCATTCAACGCTTCGTATCACACAGGGTATAACCGGGCCCTGCTGGCTAGGTGTTGAGATTTGCTCGAGGTCGGTCTCATCGTCACTGCATGCCGGCGGCACAACATTTGCAAGTCGCCAAAGCTCGGGGTTGGTAAGTATGTAGGTCTCGCGTATCTGCCGCAGCTGGTGTATATAAATCAAGTAGTCAAATAAATGATTCATATTTTTGAGTGGGTAATTTTAACGCACATATCTAAGCCTTGCACTTCGGCGAATTTCATCAGAAGTCCTTTTTCGACGTTCTTCTTCCCAATTCTTGTTCTGGTACCTGTATGTTCCCACAAAAGTTTGTTACAATAAGTGTGAGATATGGTGTTTTTTTGCAACATGAATATCCTGACATACCGTTTGGTCAGGGACCTAATGTGGGTATTAAGACACTTATTGACAAATTTTACATTCTCATCACCAGCAATTGGAACACCAGTATATTCTCCACATTCTACCAGCTTGAAAAATATTCTGAGCGCGAGGGCCCACAGCCATCTATTGTCTGGTGAATGTTGAGATTCGGAAAAGTCGGGCCGAAAGCTAGATACGCCTACACTGCGCATCATCCTCCAAATGATCAGGAGTTGTCGAGGTGTGGCGTCCTTATGTCCTGGCCCGTCTGGATAAGGGAAGCATGGATCGACCGTATCAGTGCCGTCTAAATTGACAGAAGATGTATCAAACTGGAGATTGTTTGGATTTGTGTCACGCATCCAAGCCTGTTTCTCAATTTCAGTTGCTCCGTTTGGAAGCAACTTGTGGTTTCCTTTTTGCCCAAACAATGTCTCGATATGAAACCTAATACGAGCCTACAAACACATGGTTACTATGAAATCATTCAAAATGTCTTAATCAAATTGAACTCACTGCAGTCTGTCCACCGCGCGTCTTCTTTGCGCACCGAGTCTGAGGGCTTTTACTGACACCTCTTTGAAAAACATCCAAAAATAAATTGAACTCGACGGCGAGTGCATCAAGTTTTTTGTCCGTCCTTGAGAGTTGGTCTTGTAATTTGTCTGGCGTAAAATGAGTTGGATCATTTTTCAATGGCTTTCCAGATACAAGACAATAACCTGTGAAGGATGTTCAGAGCTTAGAAAAAGACATACATATGGTTTTGACAATCCAGCTGTCTTCTGTATGTCTGGTCTCCGCAGATCCCTTACCAGCAACATCAGGCTCTTCGCTTTGTATACCGATCCGATCCAATGGAGATGTGGTAGCTGATGCATCACATTCAGACATGTGGTCATCGGGCTTAGAGACTACAGATTCCAGAATTCCTCGACCTCGGCCAGAGCGTCCTTTGAAAGGTGAAACTGCAACATGATCAGACTGACTATCATCTTGATCAGACGGACTGTCATCCTGGTGTGTTACATTGAAGTCCGAATCATTTGAATCGTCCAAGTTGTTTGCATTGAATGAATCTTCTGAACCATTGGGCGACGTTGCCTTTGCCTTACCCTTCCCTTTGCTACCCCGCGGAGGGGAAGGTCTCAGTTTAGCTAACCTTGTACGTCTTCGAGTTTGAGGCGGTGTATTTTTTTCGATGTTTGGATGTAAGGATTTCCCACCTTATGATATAATTTTACGGGTATGTAATGGAGAGCTTGTCAGAATTAGCATGCTTTTATGTAGAGAATTCTAGTTGCATACCTTCTATGGCTTCAGTCTCCTCTTCTGCACGCGCCCCATCTGAAATAGAGACCTTCCGTGTTTCTTCCATCAGAAGATCAGGATGAGCGTTGATCAAGGATGAGCGTTGATCAAAATTCAAAATGTAGAATTACATGTGCTCACTACTCTTCTTCCTGGGCTTTGGTGGCGCAGAAACTTTCTTCAGAGAATCATTATTGGCTAAAGGATGATTCGATTCAGTTGTGGATTGTGTGAAACAAAAGGTGAATCTGTATGTACCTTCATTATCAACAGCAACTGATGACAAAGGCCCAGCCTCTGTCATGTTTGGAGCATCGGAATCCACGACTGTAGACGTACAGTATAACCTCATCAGATTTATTGTAATTCCACAAAAAGTGCAGTACGTACCTTCATCAATCAAACCGCTCAACAATGAAGGCCCAGCGTCCGGCATTTCGTAAAAGGTGGAATCAAACACTGTGTAGGATGGAAGCTCATCAGATTATGGGAACAGCCAAGGTAAAGTCAAAATATACATACCACAATGGTTGGTGATAATTGACGACAAAGGCCCAGCCTGAGTGATGTTTGCAACACTAGAACCCAAATCTGGGTTAAGTATAACCTCATCAGGTTCAACAACGACAAGCCAAGATGTACTTTCTGAAGATAATCACGAAGTGTACAGAATTGACATACCAGGGGTCGATTGTACATTTTTATCCATCTTGAAATCAAAAGCATGCTTGGGTACAACAACTGCGATACAAAGAAGGATTCAGTTTCCAAGTCAAGAAATAATATCAAACGAATTCTCACTTAATTTGTGATGCGTCCAACATGTATCAATCAGCTGAGTCCTATTGAGATTGCAAGCGTCTATCCCCACCTGATGAATCAAATCAATCAGATCTGGATTGCTGTACCGAGCATAGTCTACCTGGTTGTTTGTTGTAGCTGGCGGTTCCATGCAAGGAGCAGTTTGGGGGGCGCTTTGGACCGGAGTTCGTGGTTTCTTCACCCCAGACCCTCGCCGTTTTCCAGAAACTTCGGTGGGTCCCCTGGCCAATCGCGGTTTTTTCTTTATCTCGTGGCGAGAAAGCAACTCAAGCAATCGATTTCGGCGTGAGCCTGTACCTTGAGGAGGTTCCGTAGCGGGGTTTTCGGCTGGATGAGCAAAAGAATGATTTCATTTTGAGTTTCTTTGTTCAATATCTAGGACCTGTTTGATCATAAGGTTGAACATACTTGACGATTCTTCCGAGGCTTCATCATTCTTCCTCTTTTTGGAACCCATCCGAGTTGTTGGTGGTGCAGCGGCTGAGTGAGAAGTTTCGCCTCGGTTTCGAATAACACGAGCTGTACCCTTTGAGAGCAAAGGTTGAGACATCTCATGGACGGGATTTTCCGGAATTAGGTGGTAAGATAAGACGGGATAGATTGTCTTTGACAGGGCTGAATCAGATTATAAAGTTATGTTGGAGTTCAATTGGAGAGAAGGAGAATGAGCACAAGAAGAAATGAAATAGAAGCAAAGGAGAAATAACCATGAATCAACCAGGCGTTTACAAATATGAATCAAGAGAAATCGATACCAAAAGTCATGAAACAGGCGGCTATATTGGAAGTACTCTATAGTACATATGTAGTAGCATGATTACAAGCACATCTAATACGTATCTGTATGAAAATCAAAACTTTAGTCATGAGTGATCTGTTGCTCAATGCTTTCATCGTGACAATCAGTCTTTGTGTCCAACAAATCGACATTGATTTGTTGATGATTCACTCGCCGCATTAGACACAAAGGGAGTTTGTCTTGGTGTCACCAACGGCATAGAAACTGTGCTGACAAGCCCATCAAGCGAGTTTCTATCAAGTAATATTGAACACCTCACGGTTGAATAATGCTCAATGGAGATTGGAATTCCCTGTAATTCGCACCCACTTCAATTAATCACAAGGGATAACATTGATACAATCTGTTAATTATACTCTTTGTCCTTATGAGCCTTGCGCTGCTACACATAACACTATTGCACAACAAGATATGGTTCATTGAACTCTCACTACGATGACATCAAGTATGACAAGGGTCAAAGGTAACAATCAGAAGTTCATTGATCATCACGAACCTCTGCTCTAAATTTCACATATACGAAATCTGAACTTTTAGAGGCCAATCGAGTATGCTATATATTTGACGGTACACATGTATATTCCTTCTGCATATCAGTGAGACTACCAATATGTAAAGGTATCTTAGAGAACAGGTTTCCACTCAAACATGCTGATCATTTTGAATTTACATGAAAACAATAGTTCTGGGACTCGAGATGAAAAAGCTAAATTAAGATTCTTGGACAAGGTTTGCGCATGAAGACATTATGTAGGCTGAAAATAATGAAGTACATGTCATAATCTCGTTGGCTTCGATGGTATCATAGATATCTCAGATTGGGTACGGAAGAAAATGTTACGCAAGAGTATCAAAATCAAGTTTTATCCGGCCAGTGCACGGAGTGTATATTATATTAGTTGATTAATTTCGCCAGGCTGTATTCATATAGGCATAGCAGAATACAACAAGACATCAGCAACAATGATTTTCAAGATAGTTGAACCAAAGAAAATGTATAACAAAATTTGGGAGCAAGAACGCACCCGTTGGTATAGAGAACAGTTGTTCTTTAATGTAAGACTCAAATCTATGGAGCTGTTTGTCCATTTGGTTGATCCTGAGCATTGTCCGTTGAGGCTTCATTCCAAAAATATTCATCATACTTGTTTCTACATTTCAGATCGTTTTATCGAAGTGATTCAAACAAAAAACAATATTATACATAGGATCATCAGTATTGCCATATGATAACATATAAGTCACGGCGCCAGAAATCTCACTTATGATAGTTCTCTAACGCAGCGAGGAATCCAACATCTTGGATACAGCGGTCAAATGTCTTCTGGCGTGAGTTTAGCGTACCAATTGCGATTTTGAGCTGCACATCAAGATCAAGGCGGGCTTCTGAAGAGAATTTAGGTTCGCGTAGAAGAAGTTGTATTTGTTCGATGGCCTGATGAGCTTGGCCGAGGAGGGAGGTATTGCGTCGAAGGGTTTCTCGGGCTTCCATTTGAGCCGTAGCAATTGCAGATATCTCTTCTGCGTTGAGAAAATTATACATCTTGACAAAGAGGTCGAGGTTCTCGGCCGCAAGACGATACTGCCCGCTCCGCAGATGCAATAGACCGTAAGAGTTGAACATTGTGATTCGATCGGCGGTGGTGTCAATTGTGGAAGTCGTTGTTGTTTGAGCTTCTTCGGGTCCAAAACTTGGTGCTGAAGATAGTGCGTGAACGTAATTTGGGGGAGTGTGGTTAAACTGCATGACTACGTTAGACAGACGGCCTGCAACCATCTCACAAAATATTTTTCTGAGGAGTGTGTAATCTTCTTTGGCGCCTTCATCGAATTCGAAATGGGGATAGAATGCAAGGATTATATCTAAAAGGTTTCTGGTACTTGCTTTACTAAGAAAAATATCAGGGCTGATTCTATGAGAGCTTTCATCACGGACACAATAGAGCATATAGGAGGGTAGCAAGATGCAGGTTGGATTGGACATCATGTGATCAAGTGGTTTGTTGGTTATAGAAGGAGTATCGAGATGATGTAGATATATATTAATACCATCCTGGGTTTTGGCTGTGATTGTATATACAAAATAAGGACTTTCCACACAAGCACTCTTTGAGCAAACAAGTTCTTTGACTTGCCTCATGTACCCTCTTGTCTAATCGCAGATGATAAGTATGTATATATTTTGATTTGCTGACTCTTGATTGTGAAGATTGAGGGGAGTGTTGGATGACGCCTCACGCACAGTTCAAACTTTGACCATAGATTTGATAACACCTCACCTCATTGGCACGTAGATGCACACAAATTGTGACTGTATATTTATGAAGAAATGCGATGAGGGAACTCAACCATTAGAATATTCCAGGCTCTTCATGTGATGTAAGGTAATGTATGAAAAGTCTTATCGCCATAATTGCCCATCGATCCAGACCCTTTGGACAAGTCATTCATAATTACTTCACCTGTTTTCTGCTATCTAAGATTGAGCTTAGATACCAAGTGATTTTCTTGATACATTCCTGTTTTCCCAAACTCAAATATTCCTGTTTTCCTAACTTTAGTTATAAATTCTTCTCGGTGGGTCAGATCACTCTCTTCTTTAGATTTGCCACCCTACTCATATTTTGAGATACGCATCTATATCTCCTTCAACGTTACTTTATCTACATCCATTCAGGAAACGTCGTTGATATCATGGCCACTATGTCGCAAAGCGGAGGACCCATTCAACGAGATAATCCTGAACCAAAGCTAGATCAAGAAATGAAAGGTGAGAGCTCTTCATGAAATGTGTCACTCCGTATCATATGGCCTGACTTTTCATATTCAACCTTATTGTAGATGAGACATTGGAAGACCGCCTTGCAGTGATCCAAGGTACATTCCTTCATATGAAAAATGAATTCACTGCTTTGTGCCAAAGAATTGAACAAAAAGGATCCAATGGTATATGTTTTCCATCTTGATTGGCCATAATTACATCAGAGCTAAATAATTATTTTTCTAGTTGGCGAAATCGACCTGCTCGCAGTGGAGACCACAATGGATCAATTTCGCGAGCTGGAACAGAAGATGACCATCTGGAAGCGGGACGTGGCTCATAGCGTTATGAGGACTGGGAAGTACCCTATCAACATTAAAGTTGATGGGCACAATAATCCAGTTTAAATTTTTGTAACCTGACATCTGTTGGTTAGCTGTTACCTAAATGAGATTATATATGGTTTGTAGACCAAGAAAGTGTTCGGCTTCCTTTTGCCACAAATTGTATAGTGTTTTGGTTTTCTTCCTGGCGTAAGTAATGATATCTCATAGGCTGTTATACATGACATAAAGAGTCATAAGTTACCTTTTATTTTATATATCTTATATTGCATGCAAGTTGATTTGATAATTAGTTGCAGTCTGATCCAATCGATCGGGGTTCAGCCCAGCTCTATGATTCACATGAAACACAACATGGCCTGTCAGCCACGAATCAGATTAAAGTCATTTGGCTCTCATAGAAGCAACTATGGGGGTTTGAGTTAAAAATCTCAAGGAAAGATTTTGCAAGCTCGCGGCCCATTTCTGTGCACTTTTAGACCAGGTACAAAAGCGGAAAACAGTCCATCATATCTGTTGTTATGAATTCAATACCTATAGAGGTTTTCAGAGTACTTACAAGCTCAAGTTGTGATATGCAAGGGATCTCTAGAACCAATTGTAGAGACCATTATTGTCAATGTATGATACAATCCGGTCTTCATGAGCAAGGAAATTTCAATCTCAGTCAAAAAATATACCAGTGTGGTTTTCGCACGCATTGACGATAACTAAAGTAAGCTCAATTATTGATAACATGATTGTCCAGCAATTGTGTGATCATGCCTGATGAAGTCCATAAGAAAAGAAACAAACCCAGTTTCAGGTCAACAAGATTTCAACTAATGTGAAGAGACTACATGTATATATTGAGATAAGAACAAAACGGTTTTGATTGTAACTAAAGTCTACATTTTATAAATGATGCTTTTGTTAATATTAACAATCATCACTGTTGTAGTCAGCGTTCTCTAGCCCGTCTTTGTCTTCTATATCTTCCTGTTCGTCGCTGACATCACCGTCCTCTAAGCGCATCAAGCGTTCAATTACATCCTCCTGAGTTTGAAGCTCATTGCAAAGTGTATTTACTCGCTCAATTAGCTGGGTCACTCTACCCTCTAAACTATTGACCTTTTTGTTGAGTGTCTCAATGACTTCAGTTTTCTCTTCAACAAGGGTGATGGATTGTTCAATCATATGAAAAGCAAGAGCTGTTTGTGAGATCAGCTCAGCTGACTCAACTAGACATACAAAAGATGATGGTGTTAACTTACTTTGATCTTTTTGGTGTTTGTCTTGAGCGAGTTGGTTTTCATCCAGCTTCTTTGTCAACTGAGACATAGATTCTTCCAGAGCCAGGACTAAATATGCCATTCAGTAAGCTGGGGAAAGAGCACTCTGAGAACGACATGAACGTACACTTTTCTTCCCGTTGTCTCTCCAACACAAATACATCCGCGCCTGACCTTGTTACTCCAGTATTGGTGATTGCAGGTATGTCGTTTCCAATCACTAAATTAAGATGCGGTAAGGCCTTCATCAGATCAACGAGACAAGCCAGAAGTGTAAGGTGAAATCTAGCTACCCAAGTTCTCGATTGAAAAATAATCAATGTTAGCAAGGTCAATCAAGTCCGGAGTTTCCTTCATCTTGAGAGGGATTGAGCCAGGTAAACTTGGTTTGACATCTCTATCAGAGTCGGTCCAGTTCTTTGTTGCAGAATTCAAGTTCAGGCAGGAGATCGAATCACTGTACTTGGAAGAAGAGGTCACCATGGATGTGAGTGGTGGTAATTCTTCAAGGGCTTTGAGCTCCCGTCGTTCATCACCGTCACGCTTGTCCAGAATGGGCTTGCGTTTTTTTGATACAGACGGTGTTTTGCGTTCAGTTTCTTTACTCTTCTAGGTTGCATAGTTTTTTCGGAAGTGAATGAAAGTCAGACGCATAAAAGGTAAGAGTCGAGTTGAAAACATACTTTGAATACAACTTTTGCCGGCTTTGGACTTCCAGGTGGATCAATGGCCTGAAAGGCTCGAGTATCTAAGAATACATAAGTGATATAATGTTACAAGAGAGGTCGGTCATTGTAAATGTGATGAATCTCTTGTACCTGCATACCTACCTGTGGCATTCCTTTTTTTCAACCGGGGTTCAGTAAAGGAAACAAATCGCTTCGCTGGACGGACATCACCTGCCGTGACAGCCATTGAATTGGAGTTGACAGTGTGAACATCTTGAGACTCAATTCCACTTGGGTGACGATGGGTTTCAACGTTCTCAACTGATGTTGCGACTGAGATCGTGCTTGGGGATCCGTTCTCAGAGACTGGAGGGGGTACTGGAGGAATATCAGGGGTGGGGAAAACTGTGCATCAAGGTGAGCTGAACGTATCAATTTGAAAAAAAGGATGATGTAGAAAGATTTATCCATACACTGAGGCTGCATTGCCCGAACAATTTTTGCTACTTCAAATTTCTTGAGGTCTCCTCTGACTGGTGTCTTGGGATGATTGATGCGTAGCCAGTCAAGCATCATTTGCTTGCCTACACCTGGTCCACTAGGGTCGAAAACTTCTGGAGTTAACATGATGATTATGATTCTTCTTTAAATGAAAACGGAAGGGAATAACTATCAATATGGTTAATCAGTGATGTATTTGACAAAATGGAAGTGATCAAGAAAAAACTGTTGGTATTTTAGATAGAAATGGCTGATCAGTGTATATCACGAATTCAAAGTGGTCGAGGGAAGTATATCGTATGTATATGGTGATTGCTATAAGAGGTCAATGTGCATGGGAAGAAAGTTCATGACAATCAGTGATTATGAACGTACGATTCCAGTGAGATTAGAAACAAGAAACAAGACAAAAGCAAACTGCTTACGTTCACCACGACTCGACCATGGATAGAGATCTGGGAAGCCTAGTGTAGCCGTGAAAGTAAGCAAGTGGTTACATGCCGATTGAGAAGCCATCTGAATGATTGATAGAGAACCAAATTCTTGTGGGTCGATTTTGGGATTAGAATATGTACAGAGTATAAAATCTCACGCAATTGAAGTGACTTGTGTATAATGTACGTAATATACACTTCATTACGACAAATGGCCCTACAAATTGGCCGTATGTTTTATATATATCTTCCTGTCATTTCGGGATTAGGTACGGGCCCAATCATGATTTCAGGAAAGGGGTTTCCTTGTCCCTTATTCAAATGCATCAAAGCAACAGGTCTTGTATGGGGATTAGGAAACCTGGTTTCTATATACATATATAGTGGATGACAGGCGGGGTTTCTCATTCACAATCGATTATGTAATAATCAATAGACACACGCTTCAGAGTCAGTGATCTACTAATTGGCATTGAAAGGGATTGAGGAAGAGGCCAGAATGTCACCCGATAAAGATCTTGATCAACATATACTTACAATATACCATGCATGCCCTTTCAGAATTGACAGAGGTTTGTCACACAAGTTGATTGATGCGCTGTTCATATATCAGAGCTCTTTGAAAGAGATTGTTTCATCATCTCAATCAATCCGAATAGTGTGATCTCCTAATTGGACTTGATTTATCATATCTATACCATAACCATCTATCTTGATTTGGTCAGGGATCTTTTTACTTGCTTTACTCTCTTCCCGATGGCTGACGTTCTTTCTTACATAACCAGATTGTCAACATGATACCAGCCTTTAAGGACCATGCGCACGACAGCCTTATTCCCGAGCTTCGAGCTCTTGCTTCTGATGACCGAGTACCATCTTCACCTGCGGTACAAGTCACTACACCTGAGCGTACCGGACATTGGAGTATCTATGTCGAACTCTGGCTAGACCAAGGTTTCTATCATAATGTTGAGCATGGGATTAGTCGTCATGTAGAAGCTTTTGGATTCCTCAGCACCCTCAAGCTTGCAGCGATATCAGGAGCGATTGACCGTGTGGAAGACGAGATTCACGACATCGGATCAAACCTCACTGAGTCTCAAGATGTGATTGCATATACCCAGATGTTGTTGCGTTCGTGTGACTCTGAAGTTACTCTCCACCGACAGCTTTACAAAAGACAGCTCAAGATTTCACTTAGAAAATATAAACACTTCATGCGTACCCTTAACCATTACCACAAGGTAATCGCGAATCTCAGGTCAATCCATTCCGAGGAGACGTGAGTGGCTATACCAAACAAAAATATATGAATCTAAGATGATGGTGCTGACTTGTAAATTAACTCACTCTTTCTTTTTGCTGCATCAAACCTAGCAAACGCACCTGCGATGTCGAGGATTCTCAAGCTGCTGGACCTGACACGCCTGAATCAACCTGACTGAATAATATAAGTGAATATGACAATCTTCAAATTTCAGTATTTTATGCAACCATCTGATTGTATCAGTGAAATATTCAAACTTGTCATATGAATAAGAGACCTGTCATGGTATTGCTCTAACCTGAGTGCTTTGGATGAAACCTCGTGAGAGGAATTTGAAAAATCCTTGGAAGAAGCTGGTGGGGTTTTGAGTGAAGTTCGGAAAAACGAAATTCAAGAACAACCAGATATTGAGGTTTTTTCAGACTGTGAAAGTTTAAAAAATGTTTCTAAGAAAATCGGTAATTAAGCAAAGGGTTTTCTTTGTTTTTTCGATTTTCATTAAACTTTACCTTCTTTTTCGATTTTGGTTTTCTATAGTGTTAAGCTAAAGTTGGATTTCTGAGGTTACATGAGATTGATCAAGAAGAATCAGCTTGTACATTAGTCTAGATAATCCTTTTCTCGCTCAAATTAAGCTTTGATCAAAAGGATCTTTTATTGATCAGTTTGTTTTATTGTTTTTTGGGAGCAGCACAAGAGAGAGAAAATAAATATCAACGTTTGAAATTCAAACAATTGATGTGGCTGATAGTGCTACATATAACAACATCTTTAAATATTGCTGTCTTACATGTCAATATATTTAAACAAAGCAACATAGCAGCATTGTTTGACTTCTCTACGTTTGAGAGCCTATAGGAGCCCAATGGCTAAGCCTGTAATTTTATTGCTAGTGTAGTTATATATGTATCACTGGACCTAGTACAGGACAACATCAAAATAGTTTTGAACATACATGATACAGATATTCACACATGAGATTAGAAAACCATGGTCCCAATTTCTTATGGTACCTTGGGTTTTCTAATCCCATGGGAAAAGATGACTTTTTTTGTAGTGTACTTAATTTCAACAATCTCGATTTGATTGGAACAGCTGAATCGACCTGGATCTCCATTCCAGCTCAAATTTGTCTGTCGTCGCATGACAGGCTCAGATACAATGCGGAGACTGTTTGAAGCGGTTGGGGCAAAGCAGGGTGTTAATGTGAGAAATTTGATGGTGGGGTATGGAATCAGAATGAACATCAGATGTATGTCGTGGGAGCGTGCTTGGGAAGCTCGTAATGTGTGTATTGTATCTTATATTTATTGTACTACATACATACTTACCTTGTTGAACACAGGTCATTGACGAGGTACTCGAAGAAGATCAACTCTCGAACAAACAGAAGAAGAAGCAAACCAGCAGTTCAGCCTCAATCGATCTATTCCAGGATCACAAGAGAGGCACGTTGAATGGTATTGATTTTAGTACAGAAGACTGGCGATTGATAAAACTGCTTGTTGATGAACTAAAGGTAGTACATCAATCATAAACTTGGATTTTTTTGGCTTCGATCAAAATCAGATATTGATGTTCATCCACCTGATTTTTTATGTAGCCTTTTATCTTACTCACAAAAAGAATGGAGGGTGACGGTCCAACAGGATCGATCTACATATGTCAATATTTTCTTCTACAACAAAGACTCAAGAAAAAAATCAAAGAAGATGGAGCCGATCAAGATCTCTTTTACCCAATGCACTGTGCTATGCTTGCACGTGTTGAAGAATTTCTATCGCGAGCACTCAAATGCAAAACTTTAGTGATGGCGACCATTCTACATCCTAGCTGGCGAGTTGCTTTCTTCAAAACAGCATTTGGGTCAACGTCTGTTGAGCTTAAGAAGGCCGCTGAAATGCTTTCTAGCATGTATTCCCAACACAAACTTAAGCTAGAGGCTGCTCAACCCAGCAATCAAACGCACAAATCTCATGCATCCCATGATTCATCAGGAAGCGATGACGAGGACATTTTTGCACACCTTCATCAGTTGGGTCCAACTGTCTCATCAAAGAACAAGTTGACCAATTATGCTCAAACTCCAGCACCATCAAAAGATATGCGAAATGATCCGCACCTTGCTCTTGGATGGTGGAAGGTACTCATCTTCTATGAAAGTTCAGTTACACTTTTACTGATGAATTTCTATGTAGGCTCATCAGACCAAATTCCCGGTACTTGCATCCTTGGCTCAGGATTACCTGGCCTGCAGTGCTTCATCTTGTGCAGTTGAACGCACTTTTTCCGCAGCAGCTGATGTCTGTGGTGGCAATCGTGGTGGTTTGATACCTCGGACCATGGAGCGGTGCGTGAGCAGCCACATGTGGGCAGCTCATCTACCCCCTTTGGAAGGCGAATTCAAAGAGGCAATGAATGTTTTGAATGTGTGTCTTTCTGCTGATGCAGCTATACAAAGAGCTCATTCATAGTCTTTGATACAAACAAATGTTATAATCTTATGTTGGCATGTGTGTATTTTATTTTAAAAAAATGTTGTGAATGATAATATCAAAAGATAACTTCAATACTTCAAAACCACCTTGAGAAAAAAACAAAAAAAACTATACTTGGTATCTGAAATGAACAGCTAATGTGCATATTATATGTCAAAGAAATGTTGTGAATGAAGTATCAAAAGATAACTTCAATACTTCAAAACCCCTTTTTTTAAAAAAACACTATACTTGATAAAGTATCACAGGGGCCAAAATAGATACTCACATACATGTGAGCGTTGTAGACTTTTTGGAATTCTCCAAAAAAGATTTGTTTTCTTTCAGATTGATTCAATTCAAAATCTTGGTTGTGTTCCGGTGATCAGCCTGTGGTGCTCATATTTTACTTGACATTTGTTGAGAAGGCTCATTCCCACCTTGGATGAGCAATAACTGATTTCCGATGAGTACTCAGGATCAGCTCATGGGTCACTGAATGCTCAGCAATTTGTTCAAAATGAAGATGAGCACATGAACTATACCTTCCTGAGGCTTCATTTTTCAGTGAAGAAGCCTGCGCAGGGGTGTCCCATTTGAGCTGCTCAGCAAATACTCAGTAGCATCCCCTGACTGGATCACTGATGGGCCAGACTTCCCTCAGACTTCCTTGCTAAGGAATGAAGCCTGATAAAAGTGCCATCCCATCTGCTCAGTTTATCTCAGTTGCTCAGCTAATCCTCAGTGATATCCCCAGATAAAGTTTTTCACACTGAGGGGCTGAGATCAACTGAGCAGCCCCTCAGCCAATACTCAGTGACATCCTTTGGATCCTTCTGATCCGGCTAGGAATGCCCCTGAGGACTAGCTGAGCAGCTGAGCAGAACTGAGCAGCCCCTCAGCCAATGAGCAGTGAGTTCCTCCGGGGCCTTCTGATCTCAGGAATGCCCCTGAGGAATAGCTGAGCAGCTCAGTTGAACAAGCAGATGGGCCTCAGGCTTCATTCCGGAGCCATGAAGCTTGAGGCAAGCTTGGCGCTCTGTGATCCGTCTGGGGCATGCTTCAGAGACTTAGCTAAGGGGATACTCAGTTCAGCTCAGCCCCTAAGCTATACATTAGTGGCATTCCTTGGAACTTATTGAACCAGGGAATGCTGCTCAGGATCAGCCCTTCGTCAGACTTCTTTGCTCAGGAATAAAGGCTGAGGAAGGCTTAGTTTGTCTGCTCAGTTGCGGATGATCACGTAATCAGCTGACAAGCAGAAAGAAAAGGGAAACAAATGGGAGGAAAACAGGAACATTTCAACACTCACATCGTTGTGAGCATCAATTTTTGCCCCTGTGAGGATGATGATGTTAACTGACCTTTGGTAATTTGTTGTCAAGTTCAAGATGAGCCGTGACTAAGTTCAAGGTGGACCAGGTAGGTGTGAAGGTGAGACTGTACTTGTGTTAAGGTATTTTGCTTCAAGGTCACCAACACTTGAACCAGATTTGCTGTCTCGTAAACTAGCAACCTAACAATATCAAAATGAGATCTGGTCAAGAGGTTAAGAAGTGAAAAAGTCAAAAAACTCAAAGTAAGAGGTAGGATGGTAATTGACCAAGATCAAATTGGATTTGAAGATTGAGTTAAAAGCAACAAACAGCTAAAGTAGAGTAAGTGAGTGAAGGTCAAAGAGTGATAAAGGAATCTTTGAAAGGGCAAAAGAGAAGAGTAGCTGGTGATTGAGTGAAAGTGAATTGCTTGAGACGCACATCAAAGACCACATTGTTAGGTGCCTTTGTTTTAACCAATTTGGTAATCTTTACTCAAAAGATCATTAGCTACCATTCCGAGGTCTTTGAATGATGGAGGTACTGGTTGAGACAATGGGTGATGGGTTGGATCAAGTTTGAAGTTGATGAATTGTCTTGGTGAGAAACCTTGAGTTAAGCTTAGAAATTGTGTATGTGTCAATAACAGACTCAGTTCTATGCTGTGCAAGTATAACACAGGTCCATATATCTGATGTTGTGGCCATCAAACAAATATGTACTGATTTCAGTTTTGCATCTGATGCTCACAATATGAACATCAGACGTACGGTTTTCATAGACATGAGATTTTCATTACATTGGAACAAATTATATCTTTGAATCATACCAATAAGCATCAGATATTGATCCAAGGATTTATGTCCCGAGTACATCCGATTTTTATCTATTATTCATCATGAAGATTGCTAGTTTACCCAAAGCCTGAGACGGTAGTATAGAGTCCATTACATAACGTAAGGGATAAAGCAACAAACAGCTAAAGTAGAGTAAGTGAGTGAAGGTCAAAGAGTGATAAAGGAATCTTTGAAAGGGCAAAAGAGAAGAGTAGCTGGTGATTGAGCGAAAGTGAATTGCTTGAGACGCACATCAAAGACCACATTGTTAGGTGCCTTTGTTTTAACCCAATTTGGTAATCTTTACTCAAAAGATTATTAGCTGCCATTCCAAGGTCTTTGAATGATGGAGGTACTGGTTGAGACAATGGGTGATGGGTTGGATCAAGTTTGAAGTTGATGAATTGTCTTGGTGAGAAACCTTGAGTTAAGCTTAGAAATTGTGTATGTGTCAATAACAGACTCAGTTCTATGCTGTGCAAGTATAACACAGGTCCATATATCTGATGTTGTGGCCATCAAACAAATATGTACTGATTTCAGTT